TGCTATTAGCATTGTGATCAGTCACTGTGATCTTACACAGACTGCCTTCCTTGTGTTATAATTAAAAATTCAATGACACACATGTGTGAAGTGTGATTATAAAATACGTGAAACAAGTCATACTCTGAATATTTTCCATCGTTTGTGTTAGCATTTATGTTAATCAGGACGCATAGAATTCACCGTGTTCATTCTGAGGGATTGCACCCTCGAGCACGGCAGACGTTACACATGTTTGGGACATTTAATCTGATGCTATCTGCTGTTATGGAATTGTTACGATGTAGCATTGCAAGAAGAAATAAATACATGCATCAATATTTACCTTTTTCTTTTTAATAATTGTACCCATTTTATTGGCTTCCTCTCTTTCTTCAGATTCATCATCTGCTGACCCCCCACTATCTTCTTCCCCATCATCTTCCAAATTCTCTGACGACAGAAAATCAAACGTTGATAAAACTGATGTTTCATTGTCTAATATACCTTCAGCTATCTCCCGAGCTATCCTTTTTTTGTCCACTCCCCTGCAAAGAAAGAGTGGGTGTCAACATCAAAAAAAGAAAGAATCACTTTTTACACGGTTTACACTGATGTAATAGAAATGTCATTGAATTCTCATGAACACTGCTTGTGGAAGCATTAATATAATGAAAATTCTGGGCTGTTATTTATCACTAAATTACGACTACAAGGAGAAGAAGATAATTTTATCATGAGCAAACCGCAATGTATGACAGTACAAGATCATATTGACCTCTGCTACTGCCACTGTATTAACCCCATCTATTATTGTGTGTCCTGCATGCCAAGTTATCAAAGCAATCACTAAATATAGTAAAATAAATAAAATCGCCATGTAATGAAAATTTATTCAATGATTTTAAAATTCATACAGCTGAACTTAATATCAAAAACACATTGGGAAAAGCAGCAATTTTCTATTGTAAAATAAACGTGTACCCCTCCAAAAAAAAATTATTCGACCTTGAGAAGTGTTTATTTCACCCTTATTAGACTCTTGAGAAAAACATCACACCAAATAGAAAAATGTCCATTGTTTAAAAACACTAAAGTGTTGAGAACAACATTTTTAATACAATGTAGATAGACAGCAAGCCTCCATGTGACATAGAAACAGTATTGATCATCTCTAATGGCAGATATGCATATAAACAAATTGTCAATCACACAAAGGTCAATACGGTATTCGTCACCCTGATATGTCAATTCATAGCAAAGGTATGAATAGATCATTGTATACGAGTAATTTATCTTTACTTTTAAAAAGAAAAAAATGTTAACTTAGTTTCTACCTTTTTGTTGTTTGTTGATCCCCTTGCCTGGAAGGCTTCCCACCGTCTCCATTAACGATAGGTTCTACATTTTGATTTTCAACATCCAGATTAGATGTATTTGATTCGTTACTTAAACCTAACAAAGATCTCACTCTGGACGACCTTACGTCTAGTATCGTGTCTGTATAACCAATTTCTTGTAAATATCTACGATAGAGAAAATTATTCAATGAAACCAGTGAATGCAGACAGACATAATCAAAACTACTCATAGGAATATAGTCACGTAATGACAAGGACTTCAGCTGCAATGTACAAGGAAGCTTAAAATAGAACAGAATTGAGACAGTCTACTGATGTGTTTTGAATGCGGTAAATTGAAGTATAACCAACAGGGAATAAACTCTGTAAAGTTCTGTAACTAGCATTTTATTAGCACAATGAAAATTAAACGAAATTCAACGTACAGATTACAGAGAGACATAAAAACCCTTCCTAGACATACAGAAACCTATTTTTTTATTCTAAATTTTCATCCAGTGTTTTTCAGTAAGTATCTTTCAACAGTTAAAACAGAAAGCCCAACTAAAAAAAATTTTTTTTTTTTAAGGGAAAGTTGTATTAAATGCAGTTAATATTAAAGTGGAAGTCTACTTTTGTGAGAGTTGGTCATAAATCGCATGACAATGTTCATTAGTTTATTGTTTATAAAAACAAGAAGCCATTGTCTCATAGCATACTTTTGTGTGCTACAGTGACATATTTTGAGAAACTTGAGTTAATACTTTTCAACAATCACTATTTTAAGATCAGTTGCATAAAGCTCAATGTTAAATAATTGATAACCCAAAGAAGCCTATCTGTCAGAATATATATATTTTTCCCAGCCTATGTCAATTTGAGATGTGGCATATCATCTCTGCCATCGAAAACTATGGTGAAAGCAATATAATATTGCCAAAATGGCCACTATGCATTAAAATACAACCATCATCGTCTAGAAAATTAAGCTGGAGATATATCTTTATATTTATATTGTACAAGTTATTGGAAAATAAAAAAAAAATTCTGGGTATTTGAAATCATGAATAGGCATCTACCTTAAGTAAAAACTTATCAAAAAATAGAATCATAGCATTGAACTTAAAAGATCTCACACACACACAATCCCCCAAATATTCAATAATTACAGATGTCGCATGGGCTTTGGCTTCTTTTCGCTACAGCATTGATTCAGCTTCGTATAAACAAGAAGCAGCTTTGCTACAGTTTTGTATCGCCTTCACTTCACATCTCTTTGTATCAGCTACACTGGCGACTTCAGTGATAAAATGCATGAAAGGCAAAGAACATAATGTTTTCGGTGTGGAAAACTAGGGGTAATATAGCCATGCATGGCATTGTAACCCAGCAGTCACATCCAATCAGCTGACTTTTAACTGATAATGTAACACAACACGTATTTGAGGCAAACCAACAGTTCGACCTCTGTTTTAAAAACAAAGTATACTTGCACTTTCGAAACAGTCAGACACATCATGACAAATTAGTTTTTTTTTCAAGTGAAATTTATTCGATCGAGTTGTTGCAAAATAAAAGAAACTTATCTCGATTATATTTTGCAAGGGCTCATGTCCACTATTTTCACATACAAGTTCATATTTGTTTACGCCTTTTACAAATGTATACTCATACATGTAGATGTGTGATCAAGCTCAAAAAATAACCAAAGGCTGCAATCGTGATGCTGTTACGTTTCACCAGGACAGAAGTTGTCTTGTTAACGTCTTCTGTTCAATATTTCAGATCACTATGCCCCACATAATACAGCAATGATATTTAACAGAAAAAACAATTTTTCGAAATCGCATAACAAGGAGTCATAGTTCAAGTTGCGTCCTCAAACTACCCCATGTGTAGCATTATATCTAACAGCACTCGGAATCAACTTTATCTAGTTTACCAGAAATACAGACAGAATAAAACGCTTCAAACTTCATCATTAAAACATCATTTCGATCACAAAACTTTCAGCGTTTGATGTAAGCGTTGCTGTAAACGAAGCTGACATGATGCTGTAGCAATCTAGTTTACCAGAAATACAGACAGAATAAAACGCTTCAAACTTCATCATTAAAACACCAATTTACGATCACAAAACTTTCAGCGTTTTGCTGTAAGCGTTGCTGTAAACAAAGCTGACATGATGCTGTAGCAATGCTGAACAAAGCTGAAATGAAGCTGATGCCACATTGTATGAAGCAGGAAGCCAAAGCTGAAGACAAAGCCTATGCGATAGCCATACTGTATCTATTAATAAAATCATTATCATTATAATAGTAATATTAATACTCACTGCCTAAGTAACTGCCTTCCTTGCCTGAAGTTCATTTGACTATTTTGTGGAAGAATGAGATCTTCCTCACCCTCTTCTACAGAGAAATTAAATAAAAAATATTTATTTGAGAAAGATGTATGTGATATGTAAAAATAAATGACAAATTTCTGAATTATGTAATAACTGAACGACACTAACCTCCATCGAAAAGGGGTTTATTCTCTGGATTTAATTCTGTTCCAAATTTGAGTTTGTGATATTTTGACCTAAAAACAAGAAAAGCACATTATAAGCAGCAGATAAACCAAGGACGAGCAGAAATGCATTATATATTGTTTGTCACTATTAACAAGACCTAACTAAAAATAGAACAGATACATTCATAGAAAACGATACAGCACGTGACACAGATTTAATAGTTGTGATTACCGTAAGAGCCCATTACCTGAATTATTCTAAATAAGTCTCATTATTTAAGTTTTTGTTTACTTTGTCTTCATGAATAATTATTCACATGGTGCAATGCTTTAGTAATGTCACCTACCTTTCTTGTTTTAGTGCATATTCTAACATTTTTATTCTTCGAACTAAGTCTTGTTTGAGATTTTCTTGACCTTTCCTCTCCCCCTGCAGGAAAGCTATACGTGCCTAAAAAAAAAAAAAAATTTTTATTTGATTTTGAAGAGACAAATTATTGACAGATAAAGAATCAGCTATACCTCACTGTAATGGAATTACAAGTAATCATTTCACAAAATTAAAAATTATAATTCTCTAATCTATTATTCACAATTTTTTAATTAATAAGATGGATGGATGCAGATCTCAATGAAGTTTCAAAATTAAGGGCAATTTTCTGTCATATACAGATATGCAAGTATACTTGTATGCTAAAATAAAACGAGGTCACAGTCAGTCAAGAGACATATGTGTATATATACATAGTATAGAACGTACGATCATCAAATATATTTTGTTAAAAAATAAAAAAAGTTTCTGTAGGTAAAAAATAAAAAAATATAAATCAAACATATTGTTGTTATAGGGAGTTTAGATATGTTTGAATAATGCACTAGATTTAAATTCATTTCCTACATGTGTTCAGTATTCGTACGGCATAGCAGAAAACTACTCATGTGTACTGAGACACCAAACAGCCTTGAGATTATGTCATTCAACTAGCAGGCTAAAACTACTGTTAATTCATTCATCTTTTGAATTCAAAAGTGACAAATTAATTTCTATATTCAAAAATTATTACCGGTAATTATTATTCAATAGGCATGCACTCATATGTATATATGTTTTAAGACGTTAGTTAACATTAATATTTTACACCTACATTTAATGAATATTAACATCTTGTGTATCATGTCAATCTAGAATGACCAATAACATGTTGTGAATTCAATCATTTTAATAAAACAATAAATCCCTTGTATAAATATACAAACTAACCATACTAAGGGCTGCTTATTATACATGGCAGGATATGCGTTTAGTTGAAAACAAGATGATATGTCCGATACATAAATAAACTGATACACAAGATTACAAATGAGAATAGCTGAAATAAAACCAAGATAAGACGTTATGCGTAGGAATTTAACAGGGTTGTTTTCTCCAGCAAAATGTATTAAATACGACACTACTGTTTAGCGTAATATTTGGCTGGATGGCGGACTGTTCTTGATTTTACATATTTTAATCAGTAGACTGATAGTCTAAACTCCCGGCTATTAAACCTTCATCAAGAAGATCAATAAAAAAGACATGTACACACTATTTGTCTGTGGCCAATTTACATGTTTAGGAAATCTGACAAAAAGACATCAGAGTATGAAGGGGAGAGAAAAAGTACCTCTGTGTTATGCATCTATGTGAAACATGCACTGTGCACAGAGAAAAGAAAGAAGAATTGAGCTATACAGATGCCCCTCCCCCTTCCCCAGCCCAACACTTGAATTTTGTGAGTGATAAAATCCAATAAAGAACAAAGATAGTATTTCATTCATTCATCAAGCATGACAACACAGCTGCACTCAGGGTTAATAACGCTTAAATTAGAGCTTCAGACATACTTGGAGTATGACTAACTCTTGTAAGATACCAATTAAACAGCATATTAAAATAAAAGAAGTGATAACGCAAATCTATTTAATTTATAATAATTACGACCATACATTGGTTGTAAGAAGTTAAGTAAAGCTGCTGAGTTGTCTTCGTTAATCACACTAATACCAAATTACGCCCACAGACAAGGATGGAATGTACAAACACTGGTAAGTGAGGTATCAAATATTTGAACCAGGCCCCACGGATGCTTGTAAAACTAAGTAATTATTTCACCCATTTGTGCGATTACCTATAAATGTTGCAGGACTACTGCTGTAGTAAGATCAATCTGACCTGTGACACTGGCACATGTCAGTGATAACGACTATACATCTCGCATATCCCAAATATAAATAGATGTCAGGTCAAAATAACAAGGCAATCTAAATAGTACCAGGAGATGAAAAGGCACTATAAATAAATAACATAATCTGGAGCGCAGGAATTTAACCATGACTTAGAAGTATCATTTCTGGGAATGTCAATTTAATACGATTTACGATTCAATTTTAGGAAACTTAGGAGTCCAAATGAAAAAAAATATTCACACAGAGGTATCTATCTAACCTCTGAAGGTTAAGGCCAATATACGGTATTCCTATAAATGGTGAGCGTCCATGTATGCATACAGAAAGGACTAGGTAAATGGAAAACAGAAATATGAAACTAATAACAGATACCAATTAAAAGAAATGATAATGACAAAAGCGTTCTTCATCTCTGTTATAACACTAAACATGAAAGTACAGTACATTTTATTTTGTCAATGTCTATCTACTTGGAAAGCCTGAATACAAAACACAACACAAAGCGATTTTCTGTTAATCAACTTCAAGGTCAATTCACCAGCTTCACATTCATGTTATATTCTCAACCATCATACAAGGCTCATTCAGGTGTATGTAAGGACCTGCTCGGACTGATAATTATAACATCAAATGGGCCCAATTATGTTGTAACAATGGAAAACTCAACGCTAAACTGAACACCTGAGCATGAGGTATTTAGAAATCCACTAGTTTGTTGAAATAATGATCAAATCCTGCAACTGCAAATTTTCCATGAAAAACAATTCACTCGAAATTGTGGTGAAACAGCAGAACTTCCGTAATATACACACCCACCTTGATTAAATGTTCATTAACAATTACATCCTAGAAATACTAACAACATTGAGTTCAAGTGTTTTTTTACTTATGTCCTCAATAACTGAAACTAATACGTTTTATTATTTAAATTATATTCACCAAATGTATGAGTCCAAATAAAGAAAGCTGCAAAACAACGGTGTTCATGTTAAATTATGATAGATGGGATGGTTTATCATTTATACGTGCAACAAATAACAGGTACAAGTTGAATCAGATGTTAAAAAATAATTAAAAATCTCAAGAAAGCTAAAAAAATTCCCATTGATAAAAATATGATTGAGAGCATGGATAGCAGGACTGAAATTGGAACTATTTAGAACAGAAGATGATTTGTCATTTCTCAGGTGTAGATAACAAACAGATGAGACAAGGTAGCCAAAATGAATATCTAGCAATTTATTACAAATAAGATTTATAGTTGACATTACTTCAAATAACATTTGCTAGACATCAGTGGTCTAAAACATGTACTGCACAGTTAACATAAACAGATAACTGTTGAACTGTCCCCCCCCCCCCCCCACCATTGCCAGTTGCAATCCCCACGTCCACATGATTGAACAAGCTTTGATTTACTACTCACTCACTAGCGCCAAAAAATAATTTAACAACATGAATTCAATTAGTTAAATGTCTGGATCATGACAGGCTAATTCAAGCAGAACTGTACACAGAGGATTACCCGTGTTGCAGTTTTCATGATAATTGTTAGCAAATACCAGTATCACTATTCTGAAAGCACATACATACACATAGGGTATTAAGTGTACAAGATTAGTGCAGTTCTATTTGCCGAGTAGTATGTCCTGACATTTAAGGTCTTCAGTCACGATTATTTATGAAACATCACAAAATGACCCGGTCTCTTCATCTATTGATAATATAAATAGCACACACTTTGATATTCTGTTCAACATAATGTATTCAAAACTTGTCTTGAAAACTTTTGTATGTACAGACAATGCACCGATGAGCAGATTTAACAATACAGAATGGAGTTACAAACTTTAATAATTAATGTATTCAGTGTAATAAGTCTTGTACATCAATCAATGCTGACTGACCTACACGTATACATTTACATCAATTTACATATTTTTGAAGTTCTATTTTGTATAAGGTAAGTTTGAGTGTGTATGTATGTTTGTGTGTGTATAGCAAAGTACAACAAACAATTACAACTATAAAGGCAATGCAAAAGAGTGAGGTATTCTTGGTTTCAGCTTCACTGGGTAATAAGTTTATGATAGTCATATTTCAATTGATGGATCTTATCTGGTGCGTCATCAATGTCAGTCAATACTGATTAATCCCACTCAGGAGGGAAATATCTTCAATTCGGAGACAGCATGAGATTATTTGTTCCATGTAAATATAGAGAAGTACAAGCTGTCATCTCACATACAGAAGATGTACAAACGAGAATCAAATAGATTGACAACTATATAAAGTGTGCAGTATGCCTCAGCCAGTCCTACCACATCTTGAAAACTGCTTGGAATCTCGCCAAACAAGCTCACCAGAGAATATATATTTAAATATATTGTCTGTTCTTATTTTCTCATTTTTACAGTGGAATTCAATGATAGAATTTAATTATTTAAATCAGGAAGCACCTAAATCCTCCAAGAGTAGGTAATTAGCCATATACAGTGTCATTCCTCTATCATATTAAATCTCCGGGGGCCACGACACCCTGGATGTCGTATATCACTATATATACTAAATGAACCCAGACTGAGTTATTTTCACTCCTAAGGATACAGCACTATGGCATAGCCACAACTCAAAATACTGTAAAAGGATTAATTATTCACTGGGTTTTAATTTTGCTTATTTCGCTGACTGGAAAATGCGCTAAATAAAAACCCAGTGAATATGTAAAATTTAGCATAGAACACGTTATCTAAATGATGAAACCGTGAATTTAAACCTTACTGAATATGCCTGTAATGGTAAATCAGTGAAATTTAAACTTGGTGAAAATTTAGTCATTTTACAGTAGCAGCCATCAGAATATTTGTCTAGAGCCATAACTGTTCTACTAGTACAAGTACATGCTATATATTATGTTGTATAATTATTAGTATCATATTCGATTATTCACAGAATGCACATATGCTGCCATAGTCTCTATTGTTCTGAACAGGGAATCATCTCAAACAATACGTCTATTGTTTGTACTCGACCATAAATTACAGTATTTGTGAATAACCTTATATTATTGATTCTCCTGTAGAGGTTAGTACTGAGAATAAGTCAACAGGATACGAGTCGATTCGAGGCATATTGAATATGTTATTGAAAGAGAAAATTCATGTATTTAGATAAATTCAAACAAAGACGACATTCTTCCATCCACTCCAAATGTGTTTTGATCACTGTTGGATCATCCAGTTCCAATAAAATAAGGTCTATACTGCATCAGATGCAAAATGATGTTTTATTTGCACATTCTCCAAACATGGTAGGCTTACATGAGAGCAGGAGAGACGATGACATTTTTTTTCTATAAATTATTGTACTTTCCAAAGAATAATATTCAATTTATTTCAAGTACAAAATCATACTGCAGCCACAGTGTGTTACCATCAACAAAAACACTTTGTGTAGTCATGCAAATGCACTGAGAATGATTGGCACCCCTTCTTCATTATTTTTGAGTAAAGATATGTAACGATGTTGAGTATTGTGTTATTTTAATGAAATCCAATGCAAATATTTTCTAGATGTGCATTCACACGTCCACTAAACTCACAATTTTATTGTTTATTTTTTGGAGTGGTTATTTACTTTAGAAGCTTAATTAAATTTTACTGTTTAAGCACAGATGTGGCGTTGTTGTTAAGGGCAATAAGAAGGTGAATGTTACATGAGAGTACAATATTGTTATCCAACAACAGTCAGTGAAAGAACAATGGTATTTAGAGGTCAAGATCATCAGCCAGCAGATGTTCAACACCAATATATCAAATTTAACAAAAATCTGTTCTTAAGATTTGCTTAAAACAGACACACAGACAGACATACCAAACTCATTACTTCTCTTGTGTGCTTAACACACACAAGATGTCTTGGTGTTCAGGAAAAGTATAGAGAAATTCTATTTTTTGGACAGCCACCAAGACAAACATTTGTTGGCATCAAGTTAATCACGTTTGATACCTCTATGAAGTTCAAGCACTACAATGTATTAGCAATATACATGTAAAAGTTAAATTAAAAGTAAGCCAAAAAGTATTGACTAGTTCAGCCCACAGCTGCCAAGCATTTGCAGTTTAATGACAAATACGGTTGAGGGCAGCATCATACTGGAAGGCGGAAAACAGTACAGCAGGAAGTGGGATACAGACTGAAAAGACAGTCTAACAGCTAGTTGTGGTTAGTCATAACTAGGAACAATAACACTGATAATAGAAAATAATCAAAATTAATATTAAGGGTTGTAAGAAATCATCTTTATATTTAAACTAACATGTTAAACAGATTTCAAGTCTTCAAAATAACTTATAAAATAGTTTGTAAGATATAGTGCCTACATAGTTCGGGTCACGAAACATGGAAACTTAAAACTGTCCAACCAATCACTACAACAGTGAATTTATGTCCTTGTGCAGATGATAAATTTATAAACATATGAATTATAGATATATTAAATTGATCATCCATAGGAATTCCGAAACAAGTGTACTAACTCATAACATATTTATGTTACACTGTTTACAAATTTGAAGAAAAGAAGGTATAAAAGTATAACTGTATTTAATTAATGATGCAGATGAATATATAAACTTTAACCTATGAATGATAAAATAAAACTGTGCTCAGTTCATTTTTTTACCTAAAGTCAAAATCTCAATAAAGATACAAAACAAGAATGATCATTATTAATATTATGACATCAAATTAATACATAATTAAAGATAACAAATCTGCTGACATGTATATTTAAATGCACTTGCTCAGTTCTGTGAGAGTAGGGTGCTTTGGAAGAAAACATACAGAATAAGATTTTCTGCTAGGGCTAATTAAATACCATTTAACTCTCAGGCAATGTGTGAAATGAAAATAAACTCATTATAAAATTGACAGTGCACTATTGGAATGATAAACAGAGAACAATGCAATGTCAACACCATAAAC